TGATGTGAACTGATCGTTTTTTTCTTGGAAAAAATGTGACTGAACTGATGAAAAAAAAAGGAACGCTTGTGTGAAAGGATCCTTTTTCATCTGACCACCCATTGAGGAGAGCAGCAAAGCAGACACAGAGCTGGCATCTGCTTGCTCAGCGGGGATCAGCGAAGAGATCTCCCACTAAGCAAGCGGATCCACCAAATGTGTCTGCCCTGTGTGAAAGGACCTTTAGGGAGGCAAGTAAGCAAGAACATTCAAAACCAAAGAAAAGAATATATTATGGTACATTCATGGTGTGACCTCTCAGTAAGTATACATAAATAAAAAGTGGCTGTTGGCTGGCTACACACTGTAGCACATCTTCTCTATTTAGATTGGAGACCACTGCCACTGGATTTTTTTATACATCTGGATTGCCCTGAACCACGCAGGCATAGACTATGGTCATTCGTGGGTATCTTGATATCTTCCAGATTTAGGACATTTTGCTGGTGTGTTGAATTGGTGCTGGTTACATCCTTTCCACTGGTGGTTCCTTTAGTGGGATGACTCCAGTGCCCAAAGCCAATGGTTATTAATTGGGCATTCATTCATGAACACACAAAATGTACTTTTCTCACCCCACTTTTGAAGAAGCTTGACATGAAACATGACAAGAGGGGGCCTATCCACAACCAAATGACTTATTGGATGCTGCTTTATATTAGCATATATTGTTGTCTGATCCTGTACCAATATGTACTATATAACTTTTGTTGATGTTAATGCATATTTATTGTGGCTAGGTCCCATTGGGGTGTTATGAACGCCAATTAATGATTTTTATAGGTTTTTAACACTTTACTTTGTGTAATACATTTTGTGATTTTATATTACATTTTTGTTTATGTGCTCTTACTGGGAGATCATACTGTGTAAGTCCCATATATTCTTTTCCTTTGGTTTTGTTATGTTCTTCTTGGGGATGTGGTGTTTTTTTTATGCGCAGATTACTGCTTTTTGTGCTAAGCAAGTACATTCAGACAGCTACATGGTTTGGTAACCAAAACAATCAACAGTTGCACTACAGACCTTCATGTCCCAGCAGCTCTGACCCTGAGTGCAGATCCACCATCTGACCGCAATCTACTTCACTAACACATTGAATATGAAGATAGAAGTAAGCCAGGCTCCATTGTTGAAGCTACATTGAAGCCTATTCAGCCAAAGGGAGTACAGACTGATTCTATGGGAGGTCCAGGTGCACCTTTTGGCTGAATAAATTTTAAAGTGGCTTTCAAAGTGGAGTGTGGCTTTCTTCTATCTTTGTATTTGATGTGACACAAGATTTGGTAACTGAAACTGGAGTACAGATGTATAATTGAATGCCTTAAAACAGGAGTGTCAAAGTGGCGGCTGTCCAGCTGTTACGAAACTACAAGTCTCATCGTGCTTTTGCCCCTGGGAGTCATGCTTTGTAACTCTGGATGTATTGGAGTGGGGGTGGGGGGTGGGATGGTGATCCATAAGAAGACATTAATCAAAAATAACCATACAAAAGCATGTACACATTGCCAAAGGCATGAGAGTGACCTAGCAAAATCCTTGCCGCTTCCAATTTCTGACCTCACACAAGGCAGGGAGGAACAACATCAGTTCATCTCACTGTGTCCCAGGAACCAGATGTCTCTAGGATTATTTTTGCATTGAAGGGAATCTCTGGCACTAAAAAATGATATCTTGATCATTGCTGCAGCGATGACCAAGACATCACCCTTCCAATCCAGTGACAGTCCGGTACGTCACTGGATGGGAAGGGGTTAATTCCTGTGGTTTTGGAGTGGATAGTCAAGCAAGGTAATATGTTGTTAGGTGTCTATAGGCCAAATAGGACTAACTGCGGCTATATAAAAAAAAAATGCACATTTATAAAGCACATGATGTGCTTTACAGATTTGCTTAGTGATATTACAAGCAGAGCCCTATTACAATGAATGCAAGAAAACAAGAGCTGTCAAAGTCATGTGACTAGTCTCTGCTTTAAACACAGAGTTCTTTCTGCAATGATAAAGAAGAATCTCCCCCCCCCCCAAAAAAAAAAAAAAGTCAGCAGCTGCAGATATATGTAGCTGCTGACTTTTCATATTAGGGCACTTACCTGTCCAGGGATCCAGTGGTGTCCTCACCCCCAGCTGATTCTTCAATTGGCTATGGGGTGCTTGCGCCGCCATCTTAAGTAAGGGAATCTGGCAGTGAAACATTGAGGCTTCACAGCTGGTTTCCTACTGCACATGAAGGGGCAGACTGACAACTCATGGGGCCCCCGGGCAATAGGGGTCCATGGGGCCCCTGTGTCCTTGCCCAAACTCAAAAAAGCCTATGAAAAAGGTACCAGCGGCATCTCATTGGGCCCTCTACTGACCCCGGGCAGTGCCCGAGTTTCCAAATGGTCAGTCCGCCCCTGTGCACATGCATGAAGCACACTGTGCTTTGTGAATGGGCAGCAGTCTTCTGTGACCTTGTGGGACCTTGGATCAGTCCAAGAGGGCTGTGGGGGGAGGGGGGGGGGGCAAACTTCTGACTCAGTTCACCGTGGAAGTGGGAGCAGGTACCTTTCAAAACCTGGTACCCACTCTGCCCCAAAAGGTGCCAAATGTGGCAGCGGAGGGGTGGAGGAGGCAGTTAAGCGGAGCTTCCACTTTTGGGTGGAACTCCGCTTTAAACAGAACAAAATCTGCTCCACACCAAAGGCTCCACACCAAGGTCTACATTTTATGAATGCACCATAAATTGCAGGCCTTCATATGAAGTAACCTTGTGATGTACAGCAGATAATGATATCCTCTCTCCAATATATATACATTATAGACCCTATAGTGTATATATTAGGTCATGCAGACACGTTACACCTGTTTTCTTTCATTTCAGATAGCCCCTTCAATAAATAAGCCCTGTAGCTTTATAAGTAGCCCCCCTTCCATTAAATACCTACTACCCCAATGCAGTGCAACATTCTGAACTAATGTAAAAAGTCAATGCATGCTTTATTTGTAATATATTCTTTATTTAATTTTTAATTCTTTAAACGTACATGACAACCGTGCTTTTGTTACAGATAGACACCATTAAAAGACATTTAAAATGTATCTTATATTACATTTGGTCCATAGAACAGGTTGCAAGATACTAAATATAAAGGATACTGCATTTTTCTCTTTAACAGGCTCTGTATATAGTTGTCTATGCATATGTTACATTACATATAGATTTTATATATAGATAACTTTATTTGTATCTCAACAATAATATATTATTGCAGGTAAGCTTATTGAATGATATAATATATTTTTCAGGGTAGATACTACAAAAAGATACAGATACAATTTAAACACAGTAGTTCCTACATCACTATTTTGCTAAAGTAGATAAGGTATGTTGTATACAAGATAGCTACAAAGCATATCTGTCAACTTCTTTTATGTCATTGTTGTGTACAATCAAACATTTAAATACTGCATGGTTTCCAAACAACATTGGACTGAAATACATATATTAAACAGCAGTCAGTGGCCAATATATTGTTGGCTCTGATACCAAAAGAATCTCACAAAAAATGGTAGGTTTATACAAAATAAAGTTACAACAAGACATATTGCCTGGTTCAGCTACAGACATACCAAACATTATAATTCAGAATATGTTACATTTGAGTATGAGACGGCCCAGGGTCTACTAAACAATACTTTGAACAAATTCTGTTAAAATATTTTATATATATTTTCTACAATAAATGTGCTTGACATTCTGAGAATATTAATTTATTGCAAGAACATATATATCATTTTTTTTATTTTATACTCTTTGGACAAAAATGACAAACCAAACTAACATTCACGAGAAACATATTTTCACATAATATTTTTACTTAAAGTACATGTGCTATATAACATTGTTTTAAAAGCACAGAACTTGGTCAACTATCAAGTTCATTGTGCGTCTCTCTCACAGTCACACCTTCATAGGCATTTAAAGTGCTCCTGTAAATGCCAAACAATGCCAAAAGCAATTCAACATGTTCTTTTATTTATAGCATTAAACCTATGAATATTTTGACCATTTAGAAGGTGCTGTAGATCCAACCAGGGTGTTGTGTGGCTTAAGGGTGTCCTTTACCCTAACAATTTGGTGTTCTTTTTCATTTTTGTATCCTATATTTCCCTAATATTTCTGAATATTTCTTCATCCCTACCACTTACAACACATCAGTGCCTCTTGGTGACTAAATTAGATCGGAGACATGTTTATCTAAATGCCTTTAATGTAGAAAAAATTATTGAGAAGCCTTTTGCAATTGAATTAAATATTGCATTCATAGTGCAGTCAATTGAGCTACTGTGAAGTAAAATTTACTGAAAGGAATGCAAAGCTGGTGTCATGAAATTGCTCTGTTTTGCTACAAAAGATACAATTAAAATTTGGTCCCTTAAAAATATTTGTTTAAATGATTTGTGCTTGGATACCCTTGTTTAGAAAATAAACACATTAATATTTTCAGAAAATTAAAAAAAAAGTTATATTACTTTTAAATTTTTGTAAGTGATAACTACTTTGTGTAAAAATTTGGATTAAAAAAAAGGAGAACTAATATTTGTATTGAAATACGCAAAATCTTGGGAGCTTTTTTAAGAAATTTTTCCATACAGAATTAAAAATCAGTCACACAAAAACCTCGTATCTTCATAGCCAAATACAGTTTTAGAAATGGTGTTGTCGGTTTACAAATTCAACTCTCACAGTAAAGATAAAAACATTAACAGTCTAAATTGCCTGAACACACAAACCATTCATTTTACTCCACAAAACTGTAAGAAAATAGCCTAGTTGAATTCCTTGTGCTCTGCTATTGGTGGTCCCCTTTTTTGCCACTGGAGGTAGGTAAATTCTTTATTCCAGATGTAAATATGTGGTCATGTCAACCATTCTGTATTTATAAAACATTACACTTGCATTTTCGTAGTATAGTGTTTTTAAATATAAGCTTCCTTGTTTGCTGAATTACTCTTTGACAACTGTTCGGGTCCATTTTCTGAGTGGACAACATCATCACTTGGCTGTATCATGACTTGTAAGCGCTGGAAGAATAAATCAGTTGTTACATGTTTTTATGTCTAAATAAAGCACTGAAAAACACACCAATTCTTCTTTGCTACTAAGTGGATGCCTTTTTTGGTCAATTAAAGTATAACTAAATTCATGAATAAAGGGTTAAAACCACTATACATTTTGTATTGCCTGTGTCATCTCCAGGAAGATTTATTCTCTCTATTTGTCCTGGTAACAACTCACCAAGACAGAAAAGGAGAAAAAATCACAAATTTTGAGTTGTCCTCAGTACAGAAATCAAAGAGTAGCAGAGCGGCCACTGAGAGCAGAGAGACTACTGTTTCCACACACAGAGTAAAGGTCCCTCTCCCCAGCATGCTACCTGCTGGCAGGGGACAGGCTTTTCTACTCCATCTGTGTCTATATTCTAAAGAACTGGACTATAAAGCCTGCCATAGGTTCATCAGGGACCAGCCAAAATTCGAACCATCTATGAGCAGGCTGATTGTACCCAATTTGATCGTTGTATGACTAAGGTACAACCAGCCTGTCAGATTTTTCATGCAATTACTACCAGCGCTTATACTATTCATGAAGCCCGTTCCCCCTCCCTTGACTTCTCCATCAAGATCAATAATACAACCATGAGTCCCTCCCCTCATGCCAATGTGCTAGGTGTAATCCTGGACTCCCATCTGTCTTTTCAGCCCCAATACCAATCACTATTCAAATCTTGTAGACTTCACCTCCATAACATCTCCAAGATACGCCCGTTCTTAACCTCGCAAACTACTAAGCAACTTATTCACTCCCTGGTTATCTCTCACATTGACTATTGTAACTCCCTCCTCATTGGCCTACCTCATCGCAGGCTATCCCCTCTTCAGTCTATCATGAATGCTGCTGCCAGACTCATCCACCTTACTAACCGCCATCCCTCTCTGCCAATCTCTCCACTGGCTTCTTATTGCCCCACAGTTATTACCTTTTGTACCACCAGCCCCTCTCTCTTAGATTGTAAGCTCCAAGGAGCAGGGCCCTCCTATCCCTCTTGTATTGAACTGTATTGTTGCTGTATTGTCCCCCGTTATATTGTGAAGCGCTGAGCAAACTGTTGGCGCTATATAAATCCTGAATAATAATAATAAGTGACTATAGCCCCTAGCAATAATCATTGTGTTCTTCTGGCAGGGACAATTCCCTCTCCCCCCCCCAGGAGAGCTTCATGGGAGGGATTTCCCCATCAACACAGTTAGTGTTGACTGACTGTGTTGATGGGGGAATTGAGTGATTTTCTTTCCAACAACCACGGATGGCAGGAAAGAAAATTGCATTGTCCATGGTCTGCTTTAGACTTTGCACACCTTTTGTTTTGACGTACTTCAGGTGTATTTGGCTGATTTAAACCAAAAGTTTAATTGAGCTTGAATGCTTTTGCATTGGGGCCTCATCACATGTAGTTTTAACTATTTGTGTTGCCTACTTTTCCTCCTTTCCAAAGTTTTCCTTGTTATTAAACCCCTTGGCGCCAGGGCCTTACCTTCCTTTAAGGGATTTGTGACGCCAGTAGGCAAGGCGAGTTTTAGAGTCATGTGACTGCAATGATTGGCTGCCGCAGCGGTCACATGATCGGAAAGACCCTGATCACAATTAGAGATCGGGATCTTTCCATGAGCCAACTGTAAATGTGCCAGGAGTGCACAGAGTGCACGCTCTAAACACGTGTGGGGTTTTTTCTAGTATGCAAATATGCAGCCTCTTGGCGTCAAGGTCCAGTCAGCGAGAGGCCGCATATTTGCGTATGGTCTGCCCAACAGGTTAAATACTATGAGACCTTAAGAGATTACAATCATTTATGTAAGTGAGTCTGTCCAATCAAAAATCAAATTTCTTACAGCACACATTTCTTTAATTATTCATACATTTTTAGTTATTTCAAAAGCTATGCCATGGCATTTTCTTATACTGAATGAAACAAAACAAGTGTTTGTATAATAACAGCTCAGAGAAGAAGCCCATACCTGTTTTAACGATCCTTTTAGTGATACAAACAAATATATCATGTATCCTGGGATCAGCACCATCGAAGACAAGGCCATGAACCATCCAACACCTTGGCCCCAGGCAGGAAAGACATATCTTCCCATGGTTAGAGGAGTCATTTGAACTGCACTGAAAAGGAACACCCCCTAAAAAAAAGAAAATCAGTATACCAAATGAACGTCTTGTGAATTATGAAGAATATTTCAGGATAAAGTACAGCAAGCCAAAAATGAATTAGTGTTGAAAAGGGCACAAAGTCAACATGAAGAAAATTAATGCAAAGTGTTGTTTTTCTGGTGTCAAAAAGGACCAAAATAGAAGCCAGTGTAATGCTTTTTCCTAAGGGAAGCTTGTTGACATTTTGTTAATCAGTGAATTGCTAAGTGGTAAGAGAAAAAAGTCAGCCTGATATTACTAGAACAGTGCAGAAAAAAGAAGTAATTGTCTTTTTACTGTTTCATTTCAAATAAAGATGCCCTGTTACAAACTATAAATATTTCAGATACAAGTATAGAAAAATCGAGTACTTTAAATGCTTGCTTGCAGTACTTTTACCTTTCCATAAAATATGTTTTTGGGTTGCAATGTGCCTCTAAACATGCTAGATAACTTGACTTCTTCAGGAATAGTCAATTCCATAGCACAGCCCCCTCCCCCCTTAACCCCCATAGCGGTCTGATTATGTCCATATTTCTGTGCTCAAAACGGTACATTTTCTTGCATGGAAATATGTATTTTTTTATTGTAGGCCTGTAATTTTTTAGGAATAACTCACTGAAATCTGTCCGAACAAGAGTCTAGTAAACATCCCCGGTATGTTACAATTTGAAACACAAAATCATAAATTATAATTTAATAAATAATCATAAAAAATAATAATATAATAATAATAAATTGAATTCAATAATATAATCAAACCAAAAACACTGAAATTTGAAATAGAGCGCCAAGTTCGCACATCACTGAGCAAAGTCGCAAAATAGTTTTCAGTGTCTGATGATGAATTTCTCCACGAATCATTATCAATCAATTCTGCAAGTGGTTCTAATTTACTATCGCTGTTCTCTAGCTGGTCTAAAACCACTTTTGACCTAAAGGGACGGTTTTTGGACGCCATGGATGTTTCTCAGTTTCCAAGCAGAAAGAACAATAAAAATGCAGGCAGGGCACAGGACAAAGCACTCGGGACAAAATGTATGTGAAATGGTTTGGTACAGTAATGTTTTACTATGCGATTTTAGTGTACTTAGTGAATGTCACTTTTTGTCATTTTCAAATTTCTCGCCGTTCCGTCTTCGTAAGTCCCGACGCTCGCAGGGGACGGAATCCAGATGACGGATGACGGAATCGGCTGGAGGACATTGCCGGGGACACTGCAGGAGGGACATCACGGGAGCGCAGGACAAGGTAAGTGAAGAACAGATCCCGGGAGCAGCGCCGCATGCTAAGCCCGAGTGTAGCTCGGGGTTACCGCTTGTGGTACTGAAAATTTACCTCGAGCTACACTCGGGAATACCACCAGGGAGGCTACATGTCATAGGCCTGTCTTCTTCTGGGTGAGTCTAATGACTGTCTGTGCTGGCCCACCTCATCTGTCCCTCCTGGCTTCCAAGGAAGTACCAAAGGGGAATACTAGAGAGTGTCGCCTGAGTGATAGTTGTGAGTCTGCTGGGGCTGCTGGCATCACATCCAACTGCACATAGAATCTTCTGGTAAGATTATTGTCGAAATGAACAGTCTGGCAACAGTGCCTCTTTAAGATATATGTGTCAATATTATTAACAGATCATTTCTATATATCTATGTTTTTGTGTATTTTAGGACACATAGAATGGAATTTAAAACAAGTAAAACTATAGTTTAGACTTCCAAGATTTGCAGCTCGGTAAACACAGCTAAAGACTTAGGCCTGGTTCACACTAATGTGATGGTTTTGAAGCGATTTGAGGTGTGATTATGTAGCGTGACTTGTGTGCAATTTTGATGGAATTTTTCTCTTGTGCGATTTTGATGCAATTTCATTCCTAGTAGTCAAGCTGCTGCTGCTGCTTAAACACTATGGGGTTAAAATCATGCTGTAATTGCACCAAAGTAGCACAGGAGTGGTATTGATGTGCACACTGGCACCATAAAAACAATAGGGGGATTTACTAATACTGTGGCACTCAGAATCTGGTGCAGCTGTGCATGGGAGCCAATTAGCTTCTAGCTTCAGCTTTTTCAATTAAGCTTTGGCAATAAAACTTGGAAGCTGATTGGTTTTTTATGCAGAACTGCACCAGATTTTGCACTCTTCAGTTTTAGTAAATAACCCCCAATGTGATTTCTAAGGCTAAGGGCGGGTTTTGCAACACTAGGGCCCTGAGTTTTTCTTTTATTTTGCCAATGGGGATACAGTTTGTGATGAACTTTGAACATTTACAGTGTTCTCACAGGGAGACAACTCAGAAATATAATGTACTGATGTGTAAATAGGTTTCTAACCAAACTGATAAAATGAACCTGAAACCAAAAAGTGATCATTTGCTAAGTTATAGAGATTATTTAGATATGTTAATGATGTCCAAGCAGTACTCTAAATATATACCTTTGGTCTGGAATTCCCCCTGAAATATATCAGTTTGCTTCCTGCTATGTCAGGGTCCCAGTAGCCGCAAAGTTGTAGATTTGCACTGTGAGACCTACAACAGCTTGTCCCAACAGCTTTTAAGTGAGATTTGGTGATTTCAGTACTGTGCTGCTCACTGTTCAGCTTGCTGGAGGCTCTGAGGTGAGGAAGAAAAGCCTTGCCTCTAGCAAGATGGCTGCCTCCACACAAAAACAGAACAAAGTATGGTAAGTCAGTAACTGGGAAAAGATCAGTTGCAGGGACAATGCAGTCAATACCGGTGACTAGCACTTTGCCTCCTCCCTGCATTTTTTGGGCACAACTTCCAGAGTTAAGTTGCTCTTTAAGTTTGTGTTTTTGTATGATTGTTGTTGGAGCAATACATTATAATTTGTCAGCAGGACAGATAAGAATGATTCCATGCATTTAATAAAGATCTAGGCAACATTTTATCACAATATAAGCTGAAAAAATAATATATTTGTGTCCACACTATAAAAATGTCATAGCTGAATATTTTATTATGTTGGCATAGGCCATTAAAGTGACTAAAAATGTGTAACTTTAGATCAGTGGTCCCCAAAATGTGATCTGAGGGCCAGATGCAGTCCTTTGCTTGCTTTCTTCTTCAACCTTTGGGGCATGTTTTTCCCCCCTTTGTCAGCAACAGTGGGACATTGTGCCTGCCAAGTACACCAACAATAGAACTATTCCCCCCTCTAATATTGAAGATGCAGCATTGTTTACTCCCAGTGGCCACAGTCTGGCCCCCCAAAGGCCCTTTATTTAGAAAGTTTGGAGAACCCTCCTTTAGATAAGCAGCTGCAATTAAAGATAAAATATAATCCATTTCCTAATCACTGTTTGAACAGAACAGCGTAACTTTGTGCATGTTGTTTTAAGTAACGTGCAGTACATTAGTAAATTGTGTTGGTTTATGAAATCCCAAAAGAACAGCATTAGAAATCATATGTTATTGAATATTTATTATGATAATACAAGAATAAACTTTGATGTGCAAAGTACAGAAATCCACATTAACCTGTAAGAATCACATTTTAGTTCCTTTGACTCCAGTAAAATGAAACTTTAGCAAAACTGATTTTTGTTTCTTGGTTTGGACAGAACCTCTGGAGAGATCTACCCTCACTTCCTAAGATAAGAGGAAGTTAGTGGAACTCCTGGCTGACAGCTCATGGGGCCCCCGGGCAATAGGGGATCATGGGGCCCCTGTGTCCTTGCCCAAACTCAAAAAAGCCTATGAAAAAGGTACCAGGGGCATCTCATGGGGCCCCCTACTGACCCCGGGCCCTTGGGCAGTGCCCGAGTTTCCAAATGGTCAGTCTGCCCCTGCCTGGCTTTGACCCTTGATACCAAAACAAGCGCCTCCCTTGGGAGATTTACCCTTACCTCTTTTTCCAGTGTAACTGTAAATATTTGACTTTGTCATGATTTTTTTGTTCTGATCATAACTGTCACTGAGCCAGAAGTTGAATGGAGATTTCCTCAATTGGGACACAGACAGGATTAAAGCTAACCTTTCCCCATATCATGGAAAATTGTAAAAAATATTGGCTACTTTGACAATTATTTGACTACATTATATGAATTACTGAACCTTGCACATCATCTTGTCTCTCTATACAATCATTTACTGACAATGCCTCATAGCGGACCACTGACAGATGGCATTACTTCCGGCCACTCATCCTATCCCATGGCAAACACAATATGATATTAAAGAAGAAATATAGTGTAAATCTTACCGCTACAACAATGGGTGTAAAGAAAGACCAGCAAAGTTTCCACCAGAGGCAAGGTCTGTAACCAACCATTTCTTCAATGTTATCGTAGAATCGGTTAACACCTGATAGAAAGAAGAAGAAGACTATAAAGTTAAAATAGTGAATAAAGGCATTTTTGCATTAATTGTAGTAATTTTGGTTTGTATTTTTTCTTTTAAATAATATGTATTAAGATTTTATCTTCTAGATCACTTATCAAGTCACAAACAAGTCTGCTATCAGACATCTTCATGACAATTATGATCCTACTGCCTATAAATACCTGACCAAGGACTTTTAATTATGTACAGATCAGATCTCTTGGCTGAACTTTGACATACTGAGGATGCTCCCCAACTCTATTACATTTGGCCATCCATGACAGAAAAATTTGTCACATACTTTGTGACAGAATCATAATTTGTAAATATTTTGTAACTGACATGCAGTGAACTACCACTCAATGAGCTAACCTTTAGTCTGTACCTTTTTGTAGAAATACTAATATTTATTTTTAATTTCATTGACACCTTTATGTACATTAATATAGGGGGCATCACTTTATATATAAAAACTTAGTCTTGTAAACTTAATGTATTTTAACCCATCTGTTGCTCTTTATTTCTCCATCCAAGAAAGATTTTCAATAGTAGTTATACTTTCAAAGATCTTAATCCTAACCAAACCCTTTCCACCTCCCCATGCTATATCAACCCCTTCAATCACCTTAGATCAGTAAGAATCCAGTCCAGGAGACACAGCCTATGCTGGGTGGAGCTCATGTTCTTTTCTGGACTATGTAGTACTGCAAATGTTTGAATTATTCTCCATATGTTGAAATAAAAAATGCTTTCTTACTGCAGATCTATAGACAGATGGATTTTCCATTTGGACCTATAGAACAAAGCTGCACATGTGCAATTTTGTGTGGCCCCCCCCACTGGATGAAAATAGGTCATAGGCATCAGCTCCTGGACCAGGTCACTTGCTGGTTTATAATAAGTACATGGAGAAAAGTTAGCAGGGGGAGGGGTGTCTTTAGGAATTAAAGTAGAAGTCCAGGCTAGAAGTATTTGTCCTTAAAACTGCTACCACCCACCTTCTAACTGTTATACTATCTATCCTGTGAAAGGAAAATGCATATACTTGCCTATTCTCAAAGTTCTCTGGACTGGTCATGTGATCTCTCCAGCGACTAGATTCAAGGGAGAGGAGAGAGCGGTGCCAATGGATGGAATTCCTGGGAGTACCATCATCCATAGGCTTACTATGGGGCATCTGTTGTTGGAAAGCTTGAGAATAGGTAAGTATAAGAATCCTCCTTCTACAGGGTAGTTTTTATAGGTATTAGAAGCGAAGTGGGAGCAGTTTTATACTTACTTAGTTCTAGCCCAGAGTTCTACTTTAAGTTATTTTGAAATATACATAGTTACCCTTTAAGTTAACAATTGTGTAAAGGTCAGACACAGAATACTGAAATATTATGTTTTATCAAAGTTAAGGGATAGTCCTTTGAATAAAGATATTATATGTTGTTATAAATGAGCATGATGGGATGAGTCAGTCACTGACGTTTTATATCACTTGGATACTTAAACAAAGAGATCATCCTTCCTTAATCCAGACTCTATTCCTGTCCACATACTGTAGGAGTATTTGCATGTTCCAGCACTTCCTGTTCTATTCTCCATACTATAAAATCACTAAAAATCAAGCAGGGAAGGTTTACACCTCCCATAAGGTTACAGCAGGGATGCAGACCCAAGTGTTCAAGTGCAGAAATCCCATCAACTCCATCAAGTCTATGGGAATTAGAAAAATTGTCAGGTGAGTTTACTTTCCAGCTTCTACTAAAAACGGATTCCTGTAGTTCTCTTTTAAACCATCCAACATAATCTTTCCTCCTCCTGCATCAAGGCTAAAAATTATACAGTATAAAAGTAGGGAATTATCAAAGCCTGTGATTTAGAGAATAAAGGATTCAACTTAGAGATGAGACAAAAATTTAACTTGCAGTGCGAGTCTTCGAAAGAGCCAAGAATAACCTACAACGGTCCACAAAAATATAATAATTAAATGCTCTGGGAACAAAACAAAACTTCAGAAAAGCTTACAGCAAACTATATGAACATTCCAGCAGATAGGACTGATCTCTGTTTCAGAATCTATTAAATAATTATTCCAGGCTTCAACATGTTATACATAGTTACGTTGGTCCTGCCTGGAAAGCATTCCATTGCATCATCATGGTCAGCTTTCAGAGAATACATTACATTTTCTGAATGAATAAAAAGCATTCTCTGATTGGCAAAGGCGGACTGACCATTCGAGCACTCGGGCACTGCCTGAGGGCCTGGGGTCAGTAGGGGGCCCCATGAAACGCCTCTGGTACTTTTTATAGGCTTTTTTTGAGTGTGGGCAAGGACATAGGGGCCCCATGATCCCCTATTGCCCAGGGGCCCCATGAGTTGTCAGTCCGCCCCTGCTGATTGGACAATATGGAGAGCTTGATGTCACCACCCTAACTCCCCACCTTATCCAATAAGCGAACACTTGCATTCATTCAGAAAATGCAAAGCATACTCTGAATGGTGCCCATGCTGAGTGCGTGATCTACTGTGTTCACAATTCATGAGAGCAGCCTCGCAGCATGGGACCAGGAAGCAAGTGGAGATCACCGGAGTAGTGGTGTCTACTTTTCAGCTTTCAGAAACATTGGCCAGGTATGCCATATACAGCACTGTGCAAACGTGTTAGACACGTGAAGAAATGCTGTAAATTAAGAATTCTTTTTTTTTTTAATTGTTTATTTTTATCAATTTACAAATTGCAAAGTGAGCAAACAGAAGAAAACCTCAGTAAAATCAATATTTGGTGTGACTACTCTTTAGCTTCAAAACAGCATCAATTTTTGTTAGGTACATTTGCATGCAGATTTTGAAAGGACTCAGCAGGTAGGTTGTTCCAAACATCTTGGAGAACTAACCACAAATCTTCTGTGGATGTAGGCTTCCTCAGATCATTATGTCTCTTCATGTAATCTCAGACAGAATAGATGATATTGAGATCGGGGGGCCAAACCATGACTTCCAGGACTTCTTGTTCTTCTTCACGCTGGAGATAGTTCTTAATAACATGGGATGTATGTTTGGGATCATTGTCCTGCTGCTGAATACATTTGGGGCCAATCACACACCTCCCTGATGATATGGCATGCTGAATAAATATCTGTCTGTATTTCTCAACATTGAGGACACCATTGATCAGGCAATATTGAGGACCGTAGATGCACATGCAGTGGTTGGCCAAGGAAACAATGCAGCAAATGAAAAAAACATTGTGCTTACTTCCCTTCGACATCCAAAGATGCCCAGCAGTGTCATCAGCACAGAAGTGGTAGAAACCAGTGGGACAAAGGGTGGTCACACAAATTATTGATTTTTCTTCTATTCATTTACCTTTTTTTTTACTCATTTTGCTAATTGTTAAAAAGAAAACTATTAAAACTTATATTTCTGAAAGCTTTCTTAATTTACATAATTTTATCACACCTGCCTAAAACCTTTGCATAGTACTGTACATAGTTACATCCAAACTGGGCCAACAAAACTATGTGTGTATCATGACGATGCCTGGAATTCATTTTTAAACCAAGGCTACTCATTACAAAAAAAACACTATTGCATGCTTTCATCTTTCCAGTCTACCATGTCCCCATAGTCCTAGTTGTCCTTGCACAATCATACTGGACCTTCATACAAATCTTCAAAGTAGAACTGTCGCCAGATTAGGACCCAGTGCTCTCAGTATTCAGTACTTAGCATCAGATCTAGTCAGATACCATTTTCCTCTCTGTGCTGAGGGATGTGGCTGTTACTGAACTGTGCCAGCATAGAGCAATGGAGAGTAAGGGCAAGAAAGAGCATTTTCAATCAAAGAAAAGGGTCGTTTAATACATTTCCAAACAAAAATCAATCACATTATAACATTGGAGTACATGACTTTACAGAGAACAAATATAAACAAATAAATAAACAAATATGTTTTAGTCATGTTAACAGTAAATTGCTTGTTCACATTTGTAGTTTCCTTTTGTGCTAGCAGATGAGGCTTTAGATGAGGGGTGTCAAACATGCAGCCCAAAATGCCTATGCATGCTGCCCAACACAAAATAATAAATCTACTTAAAAATGTTTATTTTTGGGGGGAACCAAAATATCTGATGAGCACCTTGGCAACTGACTGAGAATTGCTATTACATCCATCGAACCAGATATTGATGCGTTAGCTTATCAAAAACAGTAAAATATTGCACTAGTTTTATGTACCCTCTTTTACTTTTATAATAAAAAAAAATATAATTTATATATTACAATATTATTACTCAGATAGGTACATTATCTATATCAATGATTGTTACCTTGTGATCTGCCCACATTTTTCTGATCATCAGCTATCCTTATTGTTATTTTCTGTGTGGCTCAAGACAATTTCTCTTCTTCTAATGTGGCTCAGGAAAGTCAAAAGATTGGTCACCCTTGTTTTAGACCTTTTTGTTTGCAGGTTTTCCTCCTTAAAGTGCTACTAAACCCACAACAGTAAAATCAGTCTCTATATGCAGTAAAGCATGCTTGTTATACTCACTGTGGAACCAAGGGGGTTAATCCTCTGCATTGTGTAAAAAGACAATTTGATCCTGACTTCTCTGCTTTTCCTCTTGTTCAAATATCCACGTCTTATCTACTGATAAGACAGACTGAACAGTAGCCATTCTGCACATGCTCAGTTTAGTGTGTATTGCTAGAGAGGTTTTTTTTTTCTTGGGAGAGTGCATGTGATCAGCACAGGGCCAATCAGCACTGTCCAGGCAAAGGTCAGGGGTTTTGCATCCTCCTAGAGCAGAAAGAAAACTCCTCCTACTTAACCCAGTGCTCTGCTGAACACTGATAGAAGTCACAAGACAGCTATATACTGCTGATGAGAAAAGGTATTTAGCAGTTTATATTTACTAAAATAATTGCACTTCCATGTTCGGTGTACTGTGAGAGACCAGATATAGTGAATGCAGGGTCCTAGGTTTAGTAACACTTTTAATGAATTAGCCTACAGTTTACAGAGCTCAGTAGCTCAAGTATTAATTTACACACACAAGTTTAATAAGTCAGAGGAGTGACTCATTTCTCTCAGCTGCCTGAAACCAAATATTTGCTGATCTCCATAGCTAATCTAATGCTCTGGGAGTCTTGGTTCATGTACTAAACTTGTAGATAAAGAAATATAAAATAAAGTAATAAAACATAAGTTCAAAATTCTATTACCTTGAGAAAGAAACTATTTAAATAAAACTGATCCCAAGCCATTATAGGCCAGTGCCCACTAAGTCACAAGCCTATCCTTTGTATTAGTGATGTTACATGTCCCTCAATAGTTGATATACTGTAGCTGTGGTCCCATCTGTTAGTGGAGAGGGTACAGTATATATTATGCAGTTGTTTTGAAAATATAACACAAGAACTGAGCACCACTACTTTATATGTGAGAAAGAAAGACTGGCAATCCTACCTATCACTGATCATGCTTGTCTTTGAATATCAACGTTATGCTCACTTAGGCTTTTGGTGGCCTTGGTGTGAACTGGCATCAACAGACACAGATACACCATGTTGACATCATCACTAACAGCATGCTGAAAGCATCACTATTAACACTGCAAGAGCACTACCATAGCCTGCCAAAGCCAATATATGCTTCTAGACAAGCTGCCCACATCAGATTTCATACACAATGTCCAAAAAGTGACCCTGCCAGCAATAAGGGGTATTTTAATATATCTTTTTTATTTGTTCACCATTCATAAAGTAGTTAATATACAACACCATCATCTTACCGTAGCACCAGGATATTGAGATACACTCGAAAAACACCAGAAACAGAAGACTCATGCCACTGGCTGAATAATAGTCAAAAAGTTTGAACACATAAATGCCACCCTACGAAAAACACATCAGGTTAATAATAATACATGTTTCCTTTAATGTTGTTTATAAAAGACCAAATTATGCTATTAAGAAGTGCAACCTTCTGAATGTTAAAACACAATGACTTGGTCTTGGGTGACAAAGTATCTTTGCTAAGAACTGTCAATACTTCCCCACAGCTGCCATTTCATATTACATTTTTATATTCCATTTTGTAATACTGATTTTTTTTTTCTTTTTGAAATGATACCTCTATACATAAGGACATTTTGAAAAGATTCTTTTATTACTCCCGAAAGGGATGATAGCATAAGGAACTTTGAATAGATTTCCTGAGATTCATCATCTAAAATGTCATGTTTAGCTATAGCTTTCATATTAGAATATACAAGGAAAATATACTAATGACTAGTAGTAAGAAAGATGTAATGTCACTGTAAGGATTATGGTTGAGAAATGAATTTGGTTTAATGTCCCAGGTCATAGAGATGACAAGGTATGCATTATGAAGCTATAGAAATGTAGGGCGCTGAATCACTTTTCTGAGAATTGAGAGGATTTATGTTATTACTAATTATATAGAAAAATTGAAAAGTGACAGAAAAAGAAAAAAGACTGAGTGGTCGATCGAGTCTGCCCATTCAGTGGCGTCCCTAGGCAGGTGTGGGGGGTGCTCGCTGCACTGGGTGACACCTATTGCACGGGGTGACACCGGACCCGCTCCACAAAAAGGTACGTTTTAAAGCTAGCCGGCGATCTCCGCAGGATGGACCGGATCTGCGGATTGATCATAATGGATCGGAGTCTGATCCATTATCCTCCCCAATGCGCAGATCTGATCCATCTTGTGGAGATCGTCGGCTTGCTTTAAAATTTACCTTTTCATGGGGCTCGTGGAGAGATCAGTTAACCCTCTATAGGTTGCAAGCTGACGATCCCTGCAGGATGGATCAAATATGCGGATTGGGGAGCATAATGGATCAGACTCTGATCCATTATGCTCAATCCGCAGATCCGATCCATCCTGCAGGGATCGCCAGAGGGTTGACACCATGTGTTACCAAACTGGGTGACACCAACCCTAGGGACACCCCTGTGACCATTTTTTTTGGGGGGGGGGGGGGGTTGTTTGTTTTTGTTTGTTTACTTTTTTGTTGTTTTGTTTTTTATTTTTTTAAGTGTAGATCTATGCTTGTCTCAAGCATGTTTGAAGCCATTTACTGTTGACTGGCTCACTACCTCTGCTGGAAGTTTATTCCAAGAATCAATTACTCTTTCAGTAAAATAGTGCTTTCTGAGATTAGTTCTAACCCAGGGGCGGACTGACCATTTGGAAACTCGGGCACTGCCCGAGGGCCCAGAGTCAGTAGGGGGCCCCATGTGGTGTGATTGCTGTTTACATATGCGTGTGGGACCTTTGGGAATGTTTGCATTTGCGCACGAGCATGGGGGATTTTATTGTATTAAAAGAAAATTAAAGTGTACTTTATTTGTTTTTCTTATTATTGCTAACAGTAGAGATGAACAACATCCCTTGTGATAACATGTGCCATGACAGGTCATCTCTATGGAGAGATCTTGGGTCCAGGGGCGGACTGACCATTTGTAAACGCGGGCACTGCCTGAGGGCCCGGGGTCAGTAGGGGCCCCATGAGATGCCCCTGGTACCTTTTTCATAGGCTTTTTTGAGTTTGGGCAAGGACACAGGGGCCGCATGATCCCCTATTGCCCGGGGGCCCCATGAGTTGTCAGTCCACCCCTGTTCTAACCTATTATATTCAATTTCAAGAATGATCATTTTGGAATTCTATATTTTACTTTGTATCTGTTTATGAATTATTTTATGAAATTGTATGAAATTAACAAAATGTTTTGTATCCCCTTATATGGGGGAGGGGGGTGGTGGTGGCTTTTGAACCCCTGAAACATATTGGTTACTTTACTCTACACATCATTAAAATAGATTATTTTCTGGACACCATGCATCTCGCACAAGTGCTTTCTTCTTATAATAGTTATTAATTTTTAGTTATTACACCTTTACCTGCCTTAGTAGGTTCTGGGGAAATATAATAAAGAGAAAGGGCAAAAATGGGCACTATGGTCATTTTTTTTTTATTTTGGGGGGAAGGGGGGTATTTTGAAGCTCTGGCCTAGACACAAAAAACTGCTCCTTTGAACTGAAGACATATTTAGATAAAATTGTAGATTATATCAGGGCTCTCCATATCTTCTCTCCCTCTGGGTTTTCCTCTCTGTTCTCTTTTCTCCTCCTCCTCTTTTCTTCCTTCTGACTTCTTCTTTCTTTTTATGTTAGCTTGAGCCCTCGGGGCCGAGCCGGTAGCCTGATAAGGCTGCAAAATAGTTTTGCTTTTGTTTTTATCAGATCCAAAGTTTGAGACGTTACCCTAACATTGGTTCCCTATCTTTGTAATCAGAATTGTATTTGATGTTTTATTTGGTCATGGCTATGGGGAGATGTACAATGCTGTTACTTATTGTCAAGCTAGCTCCCCTAAGCCCCTTTTTCTACTGACTCTCTGTGGCCTATGCACATTTATGCCTGGGCTCTGGCCGCTGTATTTTCTGTAGTTTTGTCTTTTTATGTCCTTTTATTAATAACATTAATAAAAACAATTGAAAGTAAAAAACTGTAGATGATTTATAATGCTCTTTAGAGATCAAATGTCATTTGGGTACCTATTAGGGGCCTCCTCCTCACTTTCAATAGGGAAACAGCCCAAAACAAATTTTTAGTGGAGTGGAAAAGAGTTAAAATATCTGATAATGGTGTCCGTTTATGACACAGAGAATAGCTGAGATTCAACAGATCTCAGCTATTCTCTGGTCATTCACAGTTTATGACACTCAGGAGATCATGTCAGCCCTTCTCTGGAGATCTGTGTTCTCCCTCCAGATTCTCCACCCCAGAGCTGGAGAATCGGAGGGACCGAAAACTAAGCAGAGATAATTTACCTCTGCTTAGTAAACTGATCTTTTACTGTAATCTCGCGAGATTATAGTAAAATGAGCCATTTTCCAGAGTTTGTAGACCGTTCTCCAGCGTTTGGAGACCGTTCTCCCTTCGTTCGGAGAACTGCTTCATAAACTGCATTCACAGGAGAACCGTGTTCTCCGAGAATGCCGGAGAACTGAGCAGCGATCTATTACCGCTGGTTCATAAATGGACACCAATGTTTGTATTGCTGTCTGTGCCTTTTTGTTCTACCACACCCTTATTTCCTTGTACAGCACGAGTGTCAAACTGGTGGCCCGTCAGCTGTACCCAAACTACAAGTTCCATGAGGCATTGAAAGATAGACAGTTACAAGCATGACTCCCAAAGGCAGAGGCATGATGGGACTTGTCGTTTTGCAACAGCTGAAGGGCTGCCAGTTTGACACCCCTGTTGTACAGCATTACAGAAACAGGTAGTGGGGAATATCTCAGCAGTGGGTTCACACACAAAAATAAAAACATTACAGAAATTTTAACTCCTCCCTATATGCAAAGCTAAAAATTTTGGAAGTTAGGACCACTTCAAATCTCTCCGTTCTGGTGTGTGGCATTAACGGACTGGACCAGACGAAAAAAAATTGCCCATGCGCCTTTTATTCTGATGCTGTGCTTCACAATGCTTAGCAGTAACATGTGTGACGTGCATTGCGGTAACATGTACGTTACTGAAATGCATAGATGTTAATGGGGCACTTTGGCTTTAAATCATTTGTATTGCCAAACCTATGTCTCATTGTAAATCAATCTGATTTTCCCACACTAAGTTGGGTTTAGTGATGTTTGATATGAATAGCTATTTAGCACTGCCCAATTTTCTTACACCATGCCAAGATAGAGTATGTTAAAGCGATACTAAAGGTTTTTTTTTTTTTTAAATAAAATAACAAACATGGTATACTTACCTGCTCTGTGTAGTGGTTCTGCACAGAGCAGCCTGGATCCTCCTCTTCTCGGGTCACCGGCTGGCGATTCTGGCTCCTCCTTTCTGTCAGGTGCCCCCATAGAAAGTAGCTTACTATGGGGGTACCCAAGCAGGGGTGTTCCCAAGCTGCAGAGCCGTGGTTTGGCCATGCCCCCTATCTCCTCACTGACTGGCTGTGATTGACAGCAGTGGAAACCAATGGTTCTCGCTTGCTGTCTCAGCCAATGAGCAGCCAAGGTTGTCGTGTAAGTCGCTGGATCATGATGTGTCTCAGGTAAGTATTGAGGGGGTTGGGTGCACTGCTGCACACAGAAGGTTTTTTACCTTCATGCATAGAATGCATGAAAGTGAAAAACCTTGAGCCTTTACAACCACTTTAAGACCAGTCCAACCATATGGTTAGTGTGTCCCAATTCCAGAGTTAAGAAAGTGTATTGCATTATACTGGGTTGTGTATATACATGGATCAGCTATAAATGTATGACCACTGACAGGTGAAATGAACAACACTGGGCATTGAAGTTTGTTGTGAATGGGGTGCATAGTGGCACACTGGTGAGGGTGTCCATGCTGACCCATGTTCACAACCAAAAGTGCCTATAATGGGCACCTGAGCATCAAAACTGGACCATGGAGCACTGGAACAAGGTAGCCTGGTCTGCTGACATTTTATTTTACATCATGTGGATGGTCGGTGCATGTGCGTCACTTACCAGAGGGAAAAATGATGACACCAGGATACAGTATGAGAAGAAGGAAAGCCTGCAGAGGCAGTGTGATGCTTTGGTCAATGTTCTGCTGGCAGACTTTGGGTCCTGCCATTCATCTGGATGTTACTTGACATGTACCACAACCATCTACCTAAACATTTTTGCTGACCAAGTACAGCCCTTCATGTAAACAGTATTCCCTTATAGCAGTGGCCTCACTGAAAAATGGTCTGATAATGATTTAAGGAACACAACAATGAGTCTAAGGTGTTGACTTGGCCTCCAAATTTGCCAGATCTCAATCTATTGAGCATCTGTGGGATGTGCTGGAAAAGAAGTTTGATCCATGGAAGCCCCACCTTACAGTTTACAGGACTTAAAGGATTTGCTACTGACGGCTTGGTGTCAGATACCACAGCACATCTTCAGTGATCTAGTGGCATCTATGCCTTGATGACATTGCTGGATCTGCTTGATATTAGGTGCATGGTCATAAATGTAGTACTGATTGATGTATATTTATTTAAACAGTATATTCTGGTTTCTTTTTGTCATATAGTGCAAAAATATGTGAACATTCTTGCTGCTGCTACAGCCACCAAATACCAATGGAATCTCACAAAACTGATTGTAGCCACCAGTTCTACACAGTGCAGCTCACATCAGTTTCTGCATTGAAGAAGCAATGCAGTCAATAAATGTAAAGACTGACTTTTAGGATTAGATCCATCTACAGAACACCAAAATCTGATATTTATATACAGGAAAATATAAGGAATTGAAATGATAAAAAAGTCAGAGGTTACAAAACAAACACTTAAAGTGGTTCTAAAGGCTTGACATTTTTACCTTAATGTATTCCCTGCATTAAGGCAAAAAATATCCCTGTATTCGTACGTCTCCACCAAATACTTACCAGTGGTGTAGCCATCTGCAGTGGGTCTCTCTCTGCTCACAGAGGCAGCAGCTGGAACCATTGGCTACTGCTGCTGTCAATCAAATACTATGAGCAGAGACTGAGGTGGGGGGGCATAGCTGCACTGTGTGTGTCAACTGATGCTCACAGCCTGACTTGGCAGTGAGCCCACAGGTGCACCCCCATAAGAAGTGGCTTCCTATGGTGATGAACTGTAGGAGCCCAGAGTGCCAGCAGGGGACCATAAAAGAGGAAGTTCAAGGCCAGGCTGTACAACACCATTGCACAGAGCAGGTAAGTATTGCATGTTTATTGTTTTAATTAAAAATCTAAGCTTCACAATTATTTGAAATTATTTTGATAGTAATCAACCCTGAATAGATTATGCTAATGGTTCACCATGCTATAGAGGATTCTTGATGATGTGTTGCGGTAATAGAATCATATGTGCATAAGTATGAGGTCATTAGCATAGTAACATAGTAGGAGTGAATCAAAAGGAAGGAAATATTGATAAAGCAGATTTTCAAGTTTATATACATACCTGAGTTATGTTTGACAAGCCAATAAGATAGGAGACAACACAGACAACAGCTATAAATATTTCCCTTCGGGTGCGCAACAGCTTTGGAAATTCGTCTACAAGAGCTGTTATGAATCCTTCAACTGTACAGAACTGCAAAAATAAAAGGCAAGTGATCGGATATTTATTTGTTTCTAATATATATAATTATCAGATATATTTTTCATATTAAATTGTAAACCTTTACATATACCCAGTGAAGTGACTAGCCTCAGGTGCAACACAGAGATGAAACAAATCCTCCTACATAAGTTGTACCTGTTTATCTGCAGTCATCTCCTATCCACAGCCATTCAGACTGTACACTTTACACAGAATTTTTGATTGTCAGGAGGCAGGGGGCGAGGATCTGATGTCACACACTGCACAGCGCAGAGCAAAGAGCTGAGAGTAAACGGAGACCTGAGTGGACAACCCCCCTATATAGTCTCATAGGGAAAAATGTATAGCTGAGGCTGTCAACCACAGGCTGTGTGATGCAGCCCCCCCTCCCCCTCTCCCTTTGGATCCTTGGGAGTCAGCATAATCTTTAAGAAGTGACTCATGCAGTTTGCAGAGGAAGTAGCACAATAAGTGCTTTGGATTGAGGCAATCACACACTATAGAAGGATATGCATTGTTCATTTCAGGGGTTTACAGCCACTTTAAGGTCATGCATGCTAAGTAATGTATAAATTTAATACTTACAGGTATTTATTACCTCTCACATAGAGCACAGTACTTCCCCTTAAAATGCCTTCATCTGCTTTTCCCTCCAGAAGAACCCAATCATATAAATCCTGGTGGATGTGTGGTTCTGGTCTGTGCTCACAAATATAGATCAACCCCTACTGCAGCCTCGCACCTTGTGATTTGCGTTAAATTGTTACATTCTGAGCACATAGGGAAGGAAGAGGAGAATGCTTCCTCCTGCCTGCAGCACAATGATGAAATCATCTCAGCCTAAGCAAACTCACTGGAGTTTATTGATGGCTTAAATGATGACAGGTGGAGCTTTTCGAAAAAATGATACTGTTGCTGTATACTATGACATGCCAGGAATGTATTCATGCAGCAGGTTACTAAAAAATATATTTTGCTTTTTTTTAATGATGCCTTGATTATCTACAACAGAGGTCTCCAAACTGTGGCCCTTTGCTTGCCTTTATCTGGCCCTTTGGGCAATATCTCTTCCACTGACACCTACAATGGGGCATCATTTTTGCCACTAAGACCAACAATGCAGCTTTATTCCTTCCACTGACATCAAGGATGAGGCACTACTCCTCCACCTGATACTAAAGATGGTTCATTGTTTACTCACTTATGCCAGGACATTTTCTACTCCCAGTGGCCATGATCCGGCCCTCCAAAAGCTGAAGGACAGTAAACAAGCCCTTTGCTTAAAATGTTTGGAGACCCCTGACCTACAATATTGGGATCAGTTGTATAGGGAAAAGAGTTTAAAGGTATACTACAGAATGTGCTTTTTGGTGGGTTCTAGGGTTAAGTTCAAACCACGTTTTTTCAAGACTGCCCTCCTTTCCCCATCTATCCTGCAATGCAAAGAAAAAGCCCTGCAGCCTTCAAAACAGAGGCTTCTATCCTGGCTGTCAGCAGATCCATAGTTGACATACTCTTCATACCACGTTTTGCTCAAGCCTGCAACCTGTCAATTAGCCCAATAATTTCTATTTACCCGACTTGGGGAGAGAAATGTAAAATTGAACAGGTATGCTAAAGGTCTACAGGCTGCCACCATAGAAGCTTTTTATCTAAAGTCTACGTTTTTTCTCTTTAAATGTTGATGAGAGAAATGGGAGCACTTTGAAAAAAATACAGTAATAATTCCAGTTCCGATTTAAGTTTTAGATTTAACGGGTGTAGCTCGGGGTTACCGCTTGTGGTGCTGAAACTTTACCCGAGCTACACTCGAGAATACCTCCAGGGAGGCTAAAGTGTTAGGTTGGGGTTTAGGAGCTAGGTTTAAGGATTAAATTTACATAGTCAGGCTGAAAAAAAAGACGAGTCCATCTAGTTCAACCAAGTAAAAAAACACACACTCAAATAAAAAACCTCCATATACACTATCCTATTTCTTACTTGATCCAGAGAAAAGCAAAAATTACAGTAAGGCCTGGTCCTATTTGCTCCAGTGGTGAAACAAATCCTTTCTGACCCCCCACGTCGCATCTAGATATTCCCTAGATCATCTACCCCTGTCATTCTTACCACTAAAAATTAGAGCAAAGCCATTCCTGCCATACCTCCCCTGTCTGAAAAACTGAGCATGGACTAAAAGTGTTCCTGTACTCACAGGGCCAGATTTACATTTCAGAAGCCTATAAGCAGAGGATTCTAAAGCGCTCCCCCATTTACAGTATTGATGGATGGTCACGTTGTGTTTGATGCTGCAGCAAGACCACAGCAGGTAGCAGCCCATGGCCACAACACAAATGTATGCACCATGTATATAAATGCAATCACATTATATTGCCGCACTGTCATGATATAATACACTTTATTAACATATCTAATTAGATATACAACAATCATAGGTATGTGCAGCCTATGGCATTAGGGGGTGCATCCCAAACAAAAGCTCAAACAAACGTGGGCGCATATGTGTATTGCCAGTTAAAGTAGCGCAGTGCTGAAGAGCAAAAACTGGCCTGGTCATGAGGAGGGTAAAACCTTCCAGAGGTCAAGTGGTTGAAGGATAAGTTCCCCTTTTGCACAAAAATGATAAATGCACATTTTTTTAAAGGTAAAAAAATGTGCGTTTATTATTTTTGTCTGCAGGAACCTGTAAAGCATTGCATCAGTGATCAGCCTACACTGGTGCCATGCAGGTCTCCTGCAGACTTGTCAGTATATCTGCTCACCCGTATGGGATGTATGGGCAAGCAGATATATTGACAGAAATAATTATGAACTACCACTGCGCTCCACAGCTGTTGGATCTTGCAGTTCATTCATTCACAGAACTCTGTTAATGAATGACGCAGTCATGTGGACGTAGCCCTGCACGGTCTCACTGTTTTCAAATCTGACAGCTAGTATGGGGGAACTTCACCCCATACTTCTGTCGGGGGGGGCACTGGGCGGCAGTTGCAGCATTTTGAATATGTTACATGGTCCACCTAGAAACGGGTGGAACATGTAACATGTTCACAAAGGTGCACTTATCCTTTAAGATGAATTTTATCTGTCATTTTTAATTGTTCCCACACATGTTAAAATAATGCTTTTATATCTGATCAAATATAAAAAAAATTTTTACCGTGTGGAGAACAGTTAAAAATAACAATTAAAAGTTATCTTAAAGTGTATGTATGGTTGAGGTAATTCTTTTTTGGACAGTTTATTTGCAAATGGCTTTTTAAAGACAGTTCTGTTAGGGAAGGGGAGGACAGTCAGTTAGCTGTAAAAAGAAAATCAGACCTTCATATGCTGAAAAAAATGATATACACTGCTCAAAAAATGAAAGGAATCAGATCTCAATGGGAAAAATATCATGCTGGGTATCTATACTGATATGGACTGGACAATGTGTTAGGAATGTTAGGATGCCCCATCGTTTGATGGAAATTAAAATTATCAACCTACAGAAGGCTGAGTTCAAAGAACCCCGAAATTCAAAGTGAAAAAATGATGCAGGATGCCCCATCGTTTGATGGAAATGAAAATTATCGACCCACAGGTAGACAGAGTTAAAAGACACCCCGAAAATCAAAGTGAGAAAATGATGCAGCAGGCTAGTCCATTTTGCTGAAATTTCTTTGCAGCAACTCAGAAATGGTTCCTTAGTAGTTTGTATGGCCCCCACGTGGTTGTATGCATACCTGACAACTTCGGGGCATGCTCCTAATGAGATGACGGATGGTGTCCTGGGGTATTTCCTCCCAGATCTGGAGCAGGGCATCACTGAGCTCCTAGACAGTCTGAGGTGCAACCTGGTGGTGTCGAATGGACCGAAACATAATATCCCAGAGGTGTTCTATTGGATTTAGGTCAGGTGAGCATGGGGGCCATTTAATGGTACCAATTCCCTTCATCCTCCAGGAACTGCCTGCAAAATCCCACCACATGAGGCTGGGCATTTCATGAACCAGCAGAAACCCAGGACTCACTGCACCAGTGTAGGGTCTGACAATGGGTCCAAGGATTTCATCCCGATACCGAATGGAAGTCAGGGTGCCATTGTCTAGCCTGTAGAGGTCTGCATGTCCCTCCATGGATATGCCTCCCCAGACCATGACTGACCCACCACCAAAACCGTCATGCTGAATGATGTTACAGGCAGCATAATGCTCTCCATGGCTTCTCCAGACCCTTTTACGTCTGTCACATGTGCTCAGGGTGAACTTGCTCTCATCTGTGAAAAGCACAGGGCACCAGTGTGGCGTACCTGCTAATTCTGGTGTTCAATGGCAAATGCCAATCGAGCTCTATTGTGCTGGGCAGTGAGCACAGGGCCCACTAGAGGACGTTGAGCCCTCAGGCCACCCTCATGAAGTCTGTCTCTGATTGTTTAGTCAGAGACATTCACACTAAATGGCCTGCTGGATGTCATTTTGCAGTGCTCTTGCAGTGCTCATCCTGTTCCTCCTTGGACAAAAGAGCAGATACCGATGGGTAAGAACCTTCTACGGCCCTGTCCAGCTCTCGAAGAGTAACTGCTTGTCTCCTGGTATCTCCTCCATGCTCTTGAGACTGTGCTGGGAGACACAGCAAACCTTCTGGCAATGGCACGTATTGATGTGCCATCCTGGAGGAGTTGTACTGCCTGTACAATCTCTGTAGGGTCCAGGTCCAGGGTTTTCATGCTACCAGTAGTAACACTGACCCTAGCCAAATGCAAAACTAGTTAAAAACAGTCCGAAAAGATGAGTAGGGAAAAAAAGTCAGTGGCCTCCACCTGTAAAGCCCTTTCCTGTTTTGGGGGTCGTCTCATTGTTGCCCATCTAGTGCACTTGTTGTTACTTTCATTAACACCAAAGCAACTGAAACAACCCCCTCTGCTACTTAACTGACCAGATCAATATCCCAGGAGTTTAATCAACTTGATGCTATATTCTGATTAAAAAGTGTTCCTTTAATTTTTTTAGCAA